AATATGTCATCATAGCAAATGTCGAGTCTTTGTGAAAACCTTTGTGCTACAAGTCTTGCTTTATGTCTCACAATTTTATCTTTTTTATTTCATTTTTTTACAAATATCATTTGTAACCTACCGACTTAACATCTTTAGGTGTTTTGACTAGTGGTCTAAAAACTACTTATTTCATGAGATAACTTAATTTTACCTAGATTGCATCTTTTCATTTAGGCCAAGCATCTCGGTGTCCATATTTTTCAATAGATTTAGGTTCAAGATCCTTATTCAAAATATCAATTACAACATTATATGCAAATATGTTATCAATAAATGTTTCTTCTTAATCCTATTTTCTCCCCATGTTAACATAATTTATCAAAAAAACTTGATTTTCCTCAAGCATTTGGACTTCTTTTGGAAGCTTATCATCAAAAGTATCTTGGACCATTTTATCTCGTCTCCTTTATATTTTCATCTTGATTATTTTTCCTTTTTTTTTCTTTCTAAAATTTTTGTCTTTAAAGCCAATTGGTCTTCTACTCTTCACGCATGCTTTGGATTCATTTGTTATAGCATTAATAGGTTGTTCTACTAGGACATTGATTCTAATATGAGCATTCTCGGTGGGGGACATGTAATTTAGTTACTCTTTTATATCATAGAATGCATATAACGAGTGCATTTGCAAGACTTTGTAAATGAATTATTCTCCGAACTTCAAGTTCATATTGTTTTATGTAAGGATCAAGATGATGTAAAGATGAAATAGTCCACGTAATCTCTTCTTTCAATATTTCTAACTATTTATTATGTTTATTCTCTCCTTCTAATGTTGAAAAAACTATTTCATCAAAATGACGATCGGCAAATCGAGACGTGAAAATATCCCCTCTCTGCTCTAACTATTTAACTATAGAAAATGATTCATATCTAATATATATTCTCAATCTGCTCTAAGGATCCATTTTAGTTTGTTGTGGAGGAGTAATGGGAATATATATTGTATATCTAAAAATCCTTAAATGAGAAATCTTAGGCTCATGGCTAGAAACCAATTGAAGGGGGAAATTTCTAATAACTTGTGATCTTAATGTGAATAAGTGTTGCTATATGTAAAATTACATGTCTCCAAACATAAACAAAGGATTTTGTTTTCATAAGTAATGGTCTAGCTATCAATTGAAAGCATTTGATAAATGATTTTGCTAAACCATTTTGATTATGAACATGAGCAATGGGTAGTTCAACTTTTATTCCAATAGATATGCGATAATCATTAAATAGATGAGAGGTAAATTCACTAGTATTATAAAGATAAATTGTTTTAATGGTATAATTTAGAAATTGTGATTGTAATCAAATTATTTGAGCAAACAATCTCAAAAATGCTAAGTTTTGAGTTGATAATAAGCATACATGTGATCATTTTATGGATCTACATGTTAAAACTATAAAATATTTAAATGATCCACATGATGGATGAATTAGTCAACATATATAATTTTAAATACGTTCTAAAAATTATGGAGAGTCAATCTCAATTTTATTTGGTAATAGTTAATAATAAGTTTACCTTGAGAACATATAGGACATAAAAATTCGTTAGATTGTAACTATCACAATATAATAAAAATTATAATAAAACATAAAATTTTTTTATTTATCAATAAAAAAGCTAACAAGACATTAATTTCAATGATTATCATTAATCTAATGATCTTTTCTTCTAATTCTTTTACTATTATTATAGCAATATTTTACCATCTGAGTTTCATTTACCAAATAGAACTTTTATAGTTGCAAATTATTACTTTTGTTAGTATTTATGTGTAATTTGGTGGTGGTGCATGCTCTAAATGCCATAGCTCGGGTCTGCGCATGTTAAATCAAGTGCTTTCGCAGAGGAGCTGTTGGGAGAGAAAAATGAAAGCCCTACATCAGCAACAATTAATTGCTCATGCACTTTCAGAAAGAACTCTTTATCTGTCACGTTACAAACATGCAAGGAGTAGAAGTACCACTCACCGTCTCCTGCACTACTTTAATTTTATAGAAATAAATCAAATTAACAAATTAAACCAAGCTATATATCTGTTTTTTGGCCGGGGAAGCTACCACTCCTTTTTGCTTGCTTTAATAATGGAATTAAATGGTAAGGATTAAAGCGTCATTGATTGATTATGAACGGCCCTAACCATTTAGATTTTCATTAAGGGTCTAATTATTCATATTTTAGATGGATCGAATTTAAGGAAAAAAAAATCCTATATCATGCCAAAGAATCATGCATTAATTATAATTTAGTCTTTATTGTTCGCTACAACTATTTAATTAACAGTTGTAATATGTAAAATAATTAAATAATTATTTAATTAAATTTGATTATCCTCGATTTAGTAGGGTTTTTTTTCCAATAAAATGTTTTCTTTCCATATCCAGTTTTCCATCTTATTTACTCATCTCTCTCTCTCTCTCTCTCTCTCTCTCTCATATATATATATATATATATATTTGAAACAAATATGAAATTGCCGAAAAAGACAAGTTAGAAATATATTTAAAAAGACAAGTTGATTAATCAATAAATTTTGCTAAACAACAAGAACTAAGTTATAATTAACTCTTATAATTAATTCTGCTACTACTCTCAAACAAATGAGATCAAAGATAATGGATAAACCATTCTTTGGATGTATCCTAATAGTTAAAACTTTTGGCTTAATTAATGATTCTAAAGTTAATTATAACTTAGTTCATATAAAGAGTAAGTGAATATGAATTTTAGGTATACGAATAATTCGGATTCATATTGTTCGTATGCCTAAAATTCATATTCATGCGCTACGCTACGGACCGAACTAAACATATTTATTTCAATTTGATAACGAGTTACTACGTTTTCGGTTAATTAAAATATATTAAATTAAATATGAAAGATAAAATTTCATCTCATTTTATAATTTTTAATAAAAAATTTGTATCTATATATATTTTTTTATGTTTTGAATAAATTTTAAAGTTAAAAAAATATGATTTGTTCTTTCTTATATATTTATTCTTAAATAAAAATCCATAATAAAAAATTTTTAATATAAATTTTAAAAAAAATGTCTTAATATTTTTTTCATAACATTGCATCAAATAAATAAAACAATAATTAATATAAAAAATTGTATAAAAATTAATAAATGAAGCTTTTTACCGATAAGAAGATTATTTTTTAAAATATGTACATTTTATTTATTTATAAAATAATGAATAATATTAGTATATAAAAGTGTATTTGAATTAGTAGGCAACTGTTCTAAAATATTATTTCAATTATTTTATTTGAAAAAATTAATTCTAAAATATTTAAAAAATAATAGCAAACGAGTTGGTATTGCATGAGTAGTTGCGTAGTTAATTTCTAATAAAATTAATGACTCTAATATTATTATTTTTTATACATCATGACTCGTACTCAATCGGTGAAAATATATAGCATAAATTGAAAAATATTTTAAAAAATAAATTATAAAATATATTTTGAAGTTAATAGACCGCAAAAAAAAATATAAAATTGATTTCGATAAAATTTGATTATATAAAGAATAAGACAATAAAATACATATATTCTATTTTTAAAATTTGATTATATAAGAATTAAGCAAATAAAAATAGGTGTAAAAAAAACTTATTCGAATCCATACATAGAGAAAATAAATCATATTTATTAATAAATAAAATTATATAAAAATAAGAATAAAAATTAACTTGATGTGAATTTTTATAATAAATTAAAAAGATCAATTTTAAACAATAAGAGTAGTATATATTTATTATAAAATCTAAAAGTATATCGTATATATTATATAATCGATCGTTAGTTTGTGTGAAAAAAATAACGATTGATTTTTCAAAATTTTAATACCTAATTAAATAATGAAAAAAAGGAACATAAATTGATAGAAAAAAACCAAAGGAAATAAAAAAAAACATATGTAGTGCACGAGTTAGGGGTTAAAATTTTTATTTAAAAAAAATATATAGTGCATCAGTTAGGGGTTAAAATTTTTATTTTAAAATTCTAGGAACCAAAATGAAATAATTTAAAAATTTTAAAAAGCTCGGGTGAATAGTGATTTGTGACGGGATGAACTGTGAAAATCACTATTCAAGCCCCAATCTCTTATATATATATATATATATATATATATATATATATATAAAGAAAAAAAAAACATCTATTGGGAATCAAACCTAGGATTGGTTGGAAGGCAACTATCCTAACCACTAGACTACATATTGGAAGGCAATTATCCTAACCGCTAGACTACAAATACTATATATATAAAAAAGGTGAATATGGTTGTGAACAGTAACAATTCATTGTCTTTTAGATATATAGTAAATAGTACTATGAGTAATGATTTCTAAAGCCAAATGCATGATTTCACATCTAACCTACGGGCAAAAACTTGGTCAAATCATACCATTGTCTATTGGCGATGTTTTGGTTTAAAAATATTTGTGATCTATAGCAATACTCCATTCATAAAACCTAAGGACGTATTATTTTGTTTTATTGATAATCCTCCAGAAATTGTCAGCGGTAAAAATGGCATCAGTTACAGGGCCAAATGGTGAGTGTGTCTACTTGCTTGATTTGTAATTCGAGTTAGCTTACACTTATTTCTCATGTGCTGTCAAAATCTTGTGACATCGTGTATTAACGAGTTGATCATGCTAAATTGTTGCTATTGTAGTTATCTGTGGCATCTTTAAGGTGGTAGATTACTTCTCTGGTAAAAGATTATAACCATATAGAGTGAAGGGAAGACATTTCTCCATTGATTAAGAGGCGTAATATTCTATTCATTATAATACTTCAGGCTTATGTTTTGCAAGAGAAAGGGGAACTAATATCGCTGGTCGATCCAATCTTAGGATGTGATTATTCAATGAAACAAGCAATGATAGTCTTATACTTGGTAATGCTATGTACCAATCCATCCCCTACTCTGAGGCCAACAATGTCTGAAGTAGTTATGATTCTTGAAGGCAAGAGTAAGATGAAGGCTTCTTCATTCAACGTCCCTTACTCAGCTGACGATTTTGCAAAGGCTAAGGCTGTCGCTTGCCTCATTCCCTACGTTCGTTCTGGCAACAACTGTACAGAAAGGTCATCAAATGTTGTTTCTTATGATATTGTGAGTCAAGATGAAGATGCATATGGCATTTTCGAAGATTGTTCCTCTGAGATGGTGGACAAGACAGATAGCCTCACTAATCTCAATCGCCAAGACATTCTGATTTCTTGCTTTCTGAACAACCATAGTTGTTATATTAGACTCTATGACGTTGTCATTATTTGCAGTCCTCTACTAAGTTTTGTCTCAAATTTTCTCGATTTTCCTTCTGATTGGATAGTAATATTTTAGCTAGCAGACTATGTATCAAGTATCCACACTCCAATAAAATAAAGGGATAGAGGCAGTTTGGCTGAGGTGATTTGTAGAACCGCCTCAAATTTTTTAGCATTTACACTTAAATTGGAAAAATATGAGGCGGTTTACAAAACCGCCTCAAGTTTTGAGGAGAGGCACAAAATAAATAAATTTTATTTCATATATATATATATATATATATATATATATATATGGGTTTTGAAAGGGATGGAATGGCACTTCATTTTCTCTCTTCTCTTAGGGTTTTTCAGCTTCTTCTTCTTGTGCTTGGTCTCCTCAATCCGCTTCTTCCTTCATCTTCTTTGCATCTTCATTTTTAATTTTTTTCGATTCTGAAAGGGACAAGCTTCATTATTGAGAGTTTTCCTTATTCTCCTCTCGCTTCTTTCGTCTTCTTCTCTACTTCTTTATTTATAATTTTTTTTTTTATGGTTTTGAAAGGGATAAGAACGCTTCATTATCCCTCTCCTCTTAGGGTTTTTCATCTCGTCTCGCTTCTTCATTTTTCTCCTCTCGCTTCATGCTTCTTCGCCTACTCTACTTCTTCGTTCTTCTCCTTCGCTTTGTCCTTCTCTCCTTCTTGTTTAGAAACTAAATTAAATCGTTCAAATTGGAAAAAAGCTTCATCAAAAGACGTCACGCCCAGCTTTGATAATGAAATCGAAGTTGCGGATTTCCCATGTCCTCAATGTGGTAATATTTTTAATTGTTTTGCTAATCATTTGTTTAGAAATCATTTCATTTTTTTGGAACATGTAGCTTGGCAATACTGAAACCCTTGGAAGGAAGATAGTACATTTTATTCTTTAAAGAAGAAAGTAGGAGCCATTTTCTAGCACACAATTTGTGGGTTTGATCTTTTATAAATTCTATAAACAAAACTACTGAAGTTTGGAACCTAATGTAATTCAATCTATTATAGATCACTCCTTATGTAGGTGAAATCGGGTCATGTTTATTTTCATATCATTCTCAACCTTTTTTCCGTTGTGTTTTGGGTAAATTTGTCCTGGGTTCCTTCCAAATGCATCTATTTAGCTGATTTGTTATGAGAATTGAGACTTAGAATCTCCATAGGGTTCTTGAATGTGGGAAGAAACCTTAGGTAAAACAAAACCTCTCGTTTCTTACGGGAGACTTATCACATTCTAATGAATTGAAACAAGCCAACAAGAAGATGGTAGTGAGTGTTGATATTTATTTAATTTTTTTATTATAACAATCGAGTACCGAGTTTAGTGGCTTTCGTTGCAACCAAAACATAATTCATTTACGAGTGCCAAGCATGTGGAGGGATGATGCCTTCTAGAGCTGATATTGTAGTACCGCAACATTGTATGTGTCATGATTTGCGTCCGGTTCTTAATTATTCTTGGATGAAGAGTTGGTTTTATGTTTTTCTTACGTTATTTATATTTTTAATTTTGGCCCACTTTTCTTATTTTTTATGCTTCAATTTATTAATGATTTAAGTTTAAATTCGAGAAGAAATAATATGTTGGATCAGTACTATTTTTATCAATAATGAGCTTGATGAAAGCAGACTATAATACCTATTTACTTCATTTCCTCTTGTAGGTTTGGGATGTGATAGAGTATTTTGTGGTTCATATTGGCATGCTTAAAGGGTTTCCGAAGTCACTCTTACTCTATTTGCAATTGTGAGAATTTTAAACTAGTATGTGCAATTTTGTGCTTGTCTTTTCTAGATTGCACTATTGTAGTCATTTCTAAACAGTTCTTTCTTGCAATAGGATTGCTATCACGTGGATAGCTCTTTCTATATATTTCTTTAATAAGTGTCTTTTTATTTTTGTTCTGTTCCTTATTTCTATTTATCACATTTTGGTATGTGCTAAACCCATTCTATATAATTTTACTTCACCTCCATGGTGTATTTCTAGCCCCTTAATTCTATATCTATCTCGTAATTGTAGTTTCTCACTCATATATCTCACCTTTTAACTTAATGTGCCTGTCTCTAATTGTTCATTAGTGCTCCTACCTTTTATTGCTATAGAGGATAATGTTGTTGACTTAATCTATTACACCAAATACGGAGCTTATTGTAGAAAATTTTCCCCTATTGTCCGTGTGTATCTTCTCTTTACTATTTGACATTCCTTGCTTTTAGTCACAAATGTTCTTTCTTCTAGATTATTTTGAGCATGTATTTTTTATTTAATCCGATATGATTTGTTTCTTCGGTTCCAAGATCCTTATTTACTCTTCTTTCATTGCTCGGCCTTAGTTGTTCCATGGGATCCATGATAATTCTCAAAATATTTTGTGATTTCTCCAAAACAATATAATGTTTTTTCTTCGGATGCATCAAGTTTGGGAACATATTAGGGTTTTTTCGTTTTTGTTAATATGTCATGATCTTGTGCTTTGCATATCTCGGAGCGTGCTATCTCTAGGATTCCATTTTTGGCACATGAAAAAAACCGACATGAACATAATGTATGAACTTCTCTTTCCTATAATATTAACCGGTAGTAATCGTACAAAAGTTGATAAGAGTGACTCACTTTTTCTTGTTTTATAGATCACGTAAAGGTGTATCGGATAGATGGGAAAAACATTGGAGGATGTTATCTCGGATTGGATTAGGAAGTTGAACAAAAGAGAGATTGGTGTGTTGGTTAATTCTTTTTCCTAAGTCAATGGTTAAAAATTGAGATTCTTAGGTCCCTAATTCAGTTACCCTTTGAGTAAATTTTTATTTTGAGGGGATAACATATATAAATATCTTTTGGTGTAATGTTGATTTGAAATAAAATTTTTTTATGTATTTTGGAATGTACTTGTCCTTCATGTTCCATGAAACCGGGACAGTGGTGGGAAATGGGTAATGACTTGTTATCTTTGTTTAAGAAAGAAACAGATTGTTTATCTTTTTTTTTAGGCTGAAATGTCACTATAATTTGAATTTTAGTTTCTTTTATTTCTCATTATTAGGCTCAAATAATACAACAACATTTCCTTTACATAGGCTCTCTTTTTTTCACTCGGATCTTATCCGGATGATAATATTTTTTAACTCTTCTTGCGATTGAACTAGGATGCCACTAAATCATGTTGAGATGACAACCGTTGGAACCCATGTCCGCAAGTAAGAATTGACCTTTTATTTCCTCATATGGAGGATTTGATGTTGGAGAATAAATTATTTTGTGAAGCAATGTTCCTTCTTTTTTCTTGGGGTTGAAATAGACATTGATATTTTTCACTCAGCTACCTTTTTTAGACATTACTCTGTCAAATTTCAATCTGTCTTGCATTTGATCTCGCTATGGTGGTCTCATCCATGACTATGGATAGGTTATGTTGACCTAAACTTCAAAAATGCATGTTCTACCCAACTTTTAATTACTTTATAGTAACAAAATCTCCAATTTCTTCCAATAAGTGGAATTAGTTAGTACAAAAATTCATGGTGATGAGATCATTTGACGGCTTTTGAATTGATATAATCTTGTTCGTGAATAGTCATTACTACTATTTATTCTGTTTCTTGTATTTACAGGGACTAAAGATCATCTATTTTATAAGATATGTTATCTTCTAATCGAACACCCATCACCGGGTACAATACATGGCTAAATGTTCTGTCTATGGAATTCTTATATTGAACCAATGAAAGATGCAAGCAAATTAATTTTTATGTTTCCTTTTAATAACTGAAAATACAAAAAATCACAAAGCAAGGTGCTAGGAGGGAGAATTTAGAGTACGATGATTATTCAAGAACAGGAGCCAATACCCCCGAATCGCCTTCGGATAAGTGGAATTAGGTTATGCTCGACCTAAACTTCAAAAATGCCTATCAATATTAGCCATTTATTTTACAACATATTGGGATTTTTTTTTTTATGTATTTCAAACAAGTTTTAATCTTTTAGTTTTTTTTCCTCTTCTGGATGTTTGAAGACTTTTTATGTATTTAGAATTTGATAATTACAAATTTAAGAATATTATGTAAGCAATATAATTTTTTTTTATTTGCATTCAACTTGTTGTAACTTTTTTTTTAATTTATTTGTTTTTTGACTAAAAAATGAAGTAATTAATTGAATTTGAAAGCCTTTATAGATTCAAAATGAAGTAATTTATTTGTTTTTTAAATATACTATTTGGGGCGATCTAAACCGCCTCTATATTTTTAAACTTTGGGGTGGTTATAATCGCCTCAAACATTTCAAAAGAGGTAGGATTGTAGAGGCGTTTTGAACCGCCTCAAATTACACCCAAAACGAATTAAAAGCGGCATTGTAGAGGCGGTTGTAATCGCCTCTATGAATTCTTTGAGGCGGTTGCAACCGTCATAAGAAACCGCCTCGAATTCTTCGACGGTTGGCAAAACCGCCTCTACATCCTAGAGACGGAGGCATTGCGGGCGATTTTGAGACGGTCCTTAAAGCCGCCTCTACAATCTATAGAGGCGATTATAATCGCCTCTAAAGAACAAAAAAACCGCTTGCAATGCTTTTTTTGGTGTAGTGCCAGTACTTGTGTTAAAAATATAAGGCACACATGGAAGCTTTTTATGCTTTTATGACGAGTTATTTCTATGCTACTCGTCATGCCATTGTCACTATAGGATGTCTAGGTTTGTGGATGTTTTGAAGTATCTCTGGTTTTTATTTTTAGATTAAATTTTGATATGTTCTACATCTATATGTTTTGGAACAGTTCGCTAAAATCTCAAAAATTTTGGATGTCATTTCATCGTTTTTGCCAAATTTATTTTCTTTGGGTGTATGACATACCGAAATTGTTGGTATTTGTGGCAAGTTTATTTGATAATTAAATGGTCTCGTCACTAAAATGCTTTCACTACTTCAAGGCTTGGTGAAGGGTTAGTGTGTGTCCTAATTTTTGAGGATCGATGACAACCCTTCGATAAGTCATTTGTTTTGAAATAAATAAACTTACGATTAAATGGTTTATTGCCCTCTTGGAAGTTTAACGTTGAGACACCGAGTCTTTTAAGATTTAAGGATAGATGGTGATCTTGACATTTTATCCGAAATAAATAAAACAGAAGACCAACAAAAAACATAAATTAGCAATAATGGGTGTGGGCTAGTTTCACTCTACGTCCCAAGTCAAAAAGCCTTTAGTTTACTAGGTCGTTCCCGACATGTCGATCATGTCAATACCTAATTACCTAATTAGATCCAATATTAAATTGATGAGATTCTCGGTTTCGAAGCTCAATGTTAATTTAATACAATTTTACGATAAAAAATAAAACCCCATTTGACCTAGACGACCCAAATGAGCTTGAAAATAAACTAAAATTTTTTTTGGCAAATAATACTTTTAGGATATGGTTTTTGGAATTAGAGTAAATTTGGTAACCTTTCTTCTAAAAGGATGTCTTTGGATGATTATTATTTTCATAATAGATATAACCAACTTCTTACCCATAATCTTTGAATCCAATGCTCTTATTAGATTTTTCAGTTCTTTTCAATAATTGGTAGTGACTCTCAAATTCTTAATTTTTCTCTTTAGTCATTTGGAAGTCCCATATATCGAGTAGCGATAGCATCAACTCTACTAAGAATTTAGAGTTAGGCCGTAGCTTTAGTCTTTTCTTGAGTTTATCTCCTTCAATTATGTTTTCCATTTCATTTTCAAGTCATTTATTTTTTTAGCATTTATCTTATCGTCAAGTCATTTATATTTTTGTATTTAAATTCAAGTATTTATTTATCATATTTATTCATAAATTGAGATGAATTACAAGCTTATGTTGCCACATACATCGCGAGGAAAAGCTAGTAAAAAGCTCGGATCCGAGCTCAAATCTTATCAAGATTTAGATAAGGAGATTTGGATGGAAAGTGTAATGAAAATCCACTAATGCTCATCCGAACATTCATTTGGATTGAAACTCACTCTATGCATAAAAAAATCATGTAATATTCTTCCCATACCTCATGTTGCATAAGGTCGAGCTTAGATTACTCCACTAATAATCTAGATTATTCGAAATGAAAGCTTTCAAAATTAAATAGATGCGCCTAAAACCTATAGAAATTTGGATCTTATCTATTAGGATTGAACTCATTGAGACATGAATGATTTACGTGATGTTGCTCCGTTAACCCCTTTTGTTTCAATAGGTTTTGTCAAAAATCAAAAGGAGGAACATAGGTTAGCCTACCAAAATCGCACTTCCCTCACGAGATCTTTAACATTAGATCTAAACATAAGATGGATAATGAAGAAAGAGCTCAAATCGACTAAACTCATCGAAAGAGATAGTAGCATTGAAAGAAATGTCTTTAGGCTTGCTACTATAATTGAGCAAAGCCTACAAACTCGTGCAATCGCTAACATGTTATGGAATCAAGAAATTAGCCAGTCATCCGCCCTCCCCACCATTTAGACAAAAGCTCATATACTACCCTTTCTTATTCCTCAATAAAAAAAAGGTAAACATGACAAGTTCAACAAGTCCCCATCATTGATTTGGCTACCAATGAAACCATGAAATACAAGTTGGCTTTAGAGGCCAAAACAAAGAAGTTTGCTGCTATAAAAGAGAGAATGAGAACGATTGAGACCTATATGACCTTTTACTAAATATAGGCATATGCATGAATTCAAAAATTATAATCCTAAGAAATTTAGGGTACCAAAATTCTCTA